CTTGCCACTGATATAGGGAAAATTGTGGTTCAAAATTTTGTGTGAGGAACGAGGTGTAAAGAGGTGCAAAAAGATCGCCACAAGACGCGTTGCTCCGTACATAATTTCCTAACGTTCACCTTGTGATTTAAGCAAATGCCAGTCTTAAATTTGAAATATAGTTGAGTGGGACTTATATCTTCCGCCCTTTTTATGACCCCTTTAATTTAGTATTCAGTGTGGATTTTGCCACTATGAACAAGAAATCATTGGCGCTCATGTCGTTGGGGTTTGGGGTGAGCAGACATTGAAATGAGTGAACCATTTGCAGTACTCGGCGGAGGGGGATGTGGGCAAATTTCGTTCACCCTAGCATTTCTAGCGCCGGGTTTTTTTTTTTTCAAATCATCGTGTCATTTTGCCATTGCGACTTCACGGTGCAGCGTATTACTACCAACCATTTCAAGTTCGTGGCGAGGGTTGGCCCTCCACTGCCAATGCCTGAAAATAAGGTAACGTTAAACTTTTTTGAGTCGTGTGACCAAGTAAGCTATAAAGGCATGCTCAATAGAGGCCGGGTTATGAGACTCACATTTTGCATTAACACGATGTGATTGCTTTCAGAAATTTATTGGTCTCAGCCTTCATCCTGTATATGGTGGACATTTTGCATTCCGTTCAGTCTTCATATTCCCGAACCTGCGCTTTTCGAGTTTCCGCGCTCCAGAGCCGTTATCGATTCTCCACTCAACCGAGGAAATTCGTGATGCGCTAGAAAGATTTAATTACAATTGGAAGAATTCCGGATTTCGGTCAGTTTTTGGTACATTTTTATGGAGTTCTCAAATGTATTTCAAGAGTTTTGACTTCGGACAAGAATAAAGGGATCGAATTTAGATAGGCCTTTCTTAGATTCCATGAAAGCGGTTGAAATCACTCTGCCTACTTAATCATATTCTCTTTTACATGCTTTATTCCTCCTCCCCCTCCCACCCCTCCCCTTTCCTCTTTCGTATTGTTATTAGGGCCAATACTACCAACACCAACTGGGAGCAATCCGAGCCTTATGCTGGAGCTCCCGAATGGGAACAAGTAAAATTTCTCTATTTCACAATCGGAGCCGCCTAAAGAAGGATGTGTTTGTAAAAAGTATATAACATTCAAAAAGTAAGTGATTTTAAAGAGATTGTTTTCCATCCCCAACCGTGGGTGCGGCCTGATCAGGATCTCGAATGATCGCAGGGTTTAGAAGTAGAGTTTGGGTAGGAAGTATACCGAACCTTTGCGACATTTCATTTCGACCAGTTTGATCGGCGACCTTTTTTTGTACAATCACTAGCTCTAAATGGTGTGTTATTCGTTTTTTTTTTCTCGAATGAGAAGTTTCAGAGACTTTGGCGGACCACGTAAACGCTATTCTGTCACGCAAATGGAGTTTTTTGGGCTGCCGCCAGCTGAAAGATGGTCAGTTCTGAAGCAGTGGTGTGAAGAGTGATGAAGTGTAATGATTTCCACCTGACAGACTGAGCTTTTTCTTGATATTCGATCTTCATAGCTTACATGCAATAGAAGCAGCTGTTGAACATCACTGTCGCCCTATATCTTCCTCATTCGGTTTTACTGCCTGACATTATCCTAACACGAGTAGTTCCCTTGAATATTTAAAGATACTGTAATTACAGGTTAGGATATAGTCAAGTTTGTATTCACTTTGAATCCTTACCATGAAACTTGAGCAGTACTTAGTGCAAGTCTCAAATGTCTTAAGCTCAGTAAATGCCTTCTTCTATCTCAGTTAGCATAAGTCCTGTTAAGGCTCAAAATAGGTTTGTGTTCGTTGTTACTCATCATTAATAATTACTTTTATGGGCCCTTTTCAGGGTAGAATAGGTTGTAGTTATAGTTTTAGGTAGTTATTATTGTGTGTGCGTGTTAATAACTAACCAGAGATTTTTATGATTTCCCTAATCAAAAGTGGGATGCCAAATTTGACCGATTCTATTATGGTTTTCGATTCTCCAGTGATTTTTCTTTTCCGTTTTCCGGTCTCAATTGCAAAAATGTGCCTCGTTGTGGTTTCGGTGAACAAATACATTGTGATAAATTTAGTATTATCTCCAATAAAGTGTTGCATCTCGCCTTTTTGTGTAAGTTGTCCGAGGTTCTAATAGCCAATATTGAATGTTTGTTGCTGTGATCTGTTGCCTCTGTGGAAGTGCAGGTGGCATGATACCGCAATTCGTGAATATTAACGAGGTGCCGCGGTTGCGAATCGTGAAATTGACTCTGACCGAATATTCACCCCTCTGAAAGCTGTCAACTCATCGCTGTAGTTCAGCGCTGTCGTGGGTTTAATTGGTCAGCGCTGTTCACACTTCTTACGAAACGCAAGAATTCGATAGCAGGAAGCCACTGCAGGAGCAGGTGATTCTGCTGCTGACTGCTGCTGCTGCTTGGAAACCGTTCCTACTAGACTAAAGTCCTGATAGCCCATTTCGCCTTATCTTTTCATTCGCTGTTCCGCGTCAAATTCGCTAATGCTATATGACGGCGAGCTTCCGACGAACTTTGGATGGAATTTGGCCACTAAGGTATCCATGGAAAGGCGAGGAATGGTACGCTTATAAGGATCCGAACGCACGTTGGGTAGGCGTTTTACTTTAAGGTACCTATTAAAAATTGTCCCAAGTCTCAGGCTAAGTGCATCCAGTGCAAAAGTATAAAGACCTAATAGTTGTAAGCCCTAATTGGATTAATTGTGTTGACTGTTCTCTTACCCTTCTTGTTTTGTGTGGGTGGGTAACGGTCTTAGTGAGTTACAAGTTCTATCTACTTTGCGAAGGGAAAATTGGGGAGGGGTTCAAGATTCTTTTGAGGATGTCATCCCTACGAAAATTTTCAATTCCAGAATTAGGCTTGACAGAAGTAACTTCTGAGCTCATCCATCCCTAATTGCCAAAGCGATAAGTTCCTAGAGTGGTGGTGTGATGGGTACGCCATGCCCTGGATCTGCTGGTAAAATCGTAAGAACGTTCAATGGAGTGCTTTGGTTGCGTGTATTCGCTTCTTCTGTCCTTGTAGTGTTCTGCCGGTTCCATTAGCAAAGGTTGCAGCATATATCAACCTACTCCAAACCTAATGATTCGAAGAAAAGTAAGAATATAAATACTGCGTAAGTTTAATGGAACTTTTTTTCGGTATCCCCACTACATGTGACCATTGGTTTTCTGTTTATAGAAAGCCCCTACTCGTTGAGTTTCTCCTTATTTGTACTAAACCTGCAGCTTTGCATTCTTTCCCAATTTATTCATTTTCTTTTGTACTACTTTCAAGTAAGTTTCAAATAACTTTTGTTTTCTTCTCGTTTCATTTCATCATTCTTTCTTTTTACTCTCTGTTCCTTTCTTCTTTACCTTAGCCTCTCGTTCTTTCCATGACTTGCTTTATATCTATCTTTTTTTCTCTCCATTTTTTCGTTCAAATAAGTCCGGCTGGTTGCAATCATTTGCTTTTGCGAGGCTGTGGTTGTTGTGAGAATCCCATGATGAATCTGATTTCATTTTTTTCCTCTCCATTCCGCACAACTTGCTAACACCACGCGCTCATTCAGAAGCCTCTGTGCATTGTTCGTTGTTCCCATCCGATCCACGCGTCATTTTCTGACCAAAATGTAGTTTTGAATTGTTTTGTTAAGTGCTATGGGAGATTGTGTCATACTGGGGCGCTCAATCACCCTGGAATTAAATCCCCTATTGACTCACTTTACGTCAGACTAACAAGCCTTCTTCCTTCCACCGTCGACGATTTGGCAGTTGATTCGTTCCGCGAATATCAAACGTAGACGTTGTGAGCCCCATTTCTTTCGTACGAACATCGATATGCAGGCTTCTTTACAACTCTGTGTGTTAGAATGTGTGGCGCACCCCAACAAAGAAGTTGAGCAATATTGAGCGCTAAATCCGCTGAATCCTATTCGCTTTTTTGCCAACAGCAGTTTTTCTTTTGCATTTTGCTCGATTCTTGAAGTAATACCCTACTGCTAGCTTATGTTTTGTTAGAAAGTTGTTTAAAAGTATCAAATCGAAGTTTTGGCTGAATATTTAACTATTCATTTATTCAGAGCAGAATAGATCACCCTGTTTTGGTGTTTGTATGTGCATGCTTGTGAAGCTCTCCTCTGGGTTTGAAGCCAAAGCGACCGCTACCTTTGAGGCCTAATCTTTGTTTTGAGCCCAACGACCTTGAAATGCTTGAAAAATTTCGCAGCTGATCTATTTGGCAAGAGCATTCGCACGAAGTTATACGACAATAGCAATTTCAATATTTTCGTTATCCCAATAGGGTGACATTCTCGTTCATGATTACCGGATAGGATTAAGGACATATGGATAGAGGGATCAACCGGCAATTTTATGCATACACCATGCAGCGCATGAGTCATTGCGTTACTCATTCGCGCCCGATGCCCTCGATTGTATCCTTGTTTCGGCATTCTATGCTCGGTTTCACGGATTTCTTTTGGTTCTTTATGTAACTTTCTGTGCTTTCACAAGTTCAAGTATATAGGAGGAAGGGGTTGACAGAAGAGAGACTTTGTTTTCCTTATTAGACAAAAATTACTCACTCTTTGCTAAATTCTTATAACATGAAAATGAAGAGCACACCAAAGCAAGCCAGTACTATTGAAAACAATGCTCTTATAGGCCATCTGACGAGCGGCAGGAAGAGTCTGTTACGGAAGTATGGTGCAGGGTTTGTGGCATGGCGAAACTTGTATCCTGAAAGACGAATAGGGGCACTCCAGAATGGGCTTGCCCTTCGCTTTGGAGTGATTTTTACGCTTTTGTGAGAAATCATGGATGGTATACTTATGAGGAGTTTGCGAGCGCGCTATGTAGTGTTTTCTAGACCCCCCCCTCCTTTAGATTGAGTGTTATGCTATTGCTGGAACAATGGTAACAAACATTCCTACAGTTTCGTCTCTTCAGTAGGAAATGAGCGCATCTCGTTTTGGATTTTATTAGGATTCAAAAAAAATCTCCAAAAAGTTTTTGTACTTTTTTGCCAAAGCGGGGGGGGGGCGCGAAGTAGTATTCGTCATGGAGGTTTTGAAAGGTTTTTGCTCACAATGTTGTGAGCGTGCAATCGGATCAATGCTTCGGTACAGTCAGCCGCTTGAGCCGCATTTGTCAGAGAGATATTCGTGTTGAAGGGTGAGTAAGCGTTCTCTCCGCTTTTCCTGCCATCTATAAATTTAAGACATGAGTTCCAAAATCCTTCCTCTTTTTTTGAGTTTAAAGAGAACTGTTTAACGTTGACTATTTCATCCGTTGTTTCGTAAAATTTAGAAGGATGAGTGCGAGGGCGCTGAGAAATTGTGAATCATAAGTGCCAGTTGAATCCCTGGAGCTAAGCTTCTCTGAGCAGACGTGATTCTTCTTTCAAGTTTCGTTCTCGTTGCCGTGGTGATGCATCGTTTGTTTTCCTTGCTTTGTTCTCATTAACTTCGAGCGTACATTGAGTTCTTATTCTTCTTTCTTTATCTGCTCTTGAATGTATATAGAACTTTTCATAAACTGATTCCTTCGAACATTTTCATTTAATACGTGCTGTTATCAGACAGCAGTAGGTCTCAATATCACCAAATTAAGGCCTGTCCGGCCTTATGAAAGTCCACTACTACGACGCTCACGCCCCTCTCCCCCCTACCACTCACACAGTCCCGGTATTTGTTCATCTGATCTTCTACGGTATTTTGATTCTTGTGAGCGGCGACGGCTAACTCGCGTCTCCGCTCCACTTCTTACCTTCAAAAGATCGTCGGTGGGGAGGGTAATTGTGAAATGAATGCGTGACCGTCCGACTCATTCCACTGGGCCACGACCCATTGAACTCAATATAAGACCCCTCCCTCTGCAATGCTCAAGTCCGAGCTCTTTCGTTGAGAATTGTGCAACGCGCCATTGATCCTGCCCTTAATCATTAAAGGGTGTCCCAAAAGGTCAATTGCATCTTCTGCAGAAGGGAGGTATTCATGGGGCGGTATTCAATCCTTCCCCCAGGGGGATATATCCCCCTCCTCTGATTCAATCCTCTCAATCCTCTGGGGGGACAAAAAAGGGTTGCGTCATAGGACCTAGCATACCTCTGTGTTTCTACCTGCCAGACAGTTAGAGCAGCGCGACCCCTCAGGGGAAAGAGTGCTTCATCAGTGGAGGGTAGTAGCGCTGCTCTGTCTGGCAGGTAGAAACACAGAGGTATGCTAGGTCCTATGACGCAACCCTTTTTTGTCCCCCCAGAGGATTGAGAGGATTGAATCAGAGGAGGGGGATATATCCCCCTGGGGGAAGGATTGAATACCGCCCCAGGACATGGAAGCGCTTTTCGTAATGGTTTTCTTGTATGTTGTAGGGACGGATGGGGGGGGGGGGGGGGGGGGGGAGGGGGGGGGGAAGGGGGGCCCAAAGGAGAACACAGAACCATGATCCATTTTTC